TATAACTACAAAACAATTAAACTTCAATTACGAATACAAATGAAAACAACTCAAGTTCTGTCTAGTCCACACAGAATAGCGTCGGGTTTGCAAGTTATCAGCCTACTAACTTTTAGTATATCTAACGTTTTATTGCAGCTATAGTTATTAAGTAAATTCAATTATATTTTCTACTAATATCTGCACCAATTTATCTTATAATAAAGAAAAAATGACGCCTAAACACTCGTTCCGGCTCACTAAATTTTACTTGGAAACTCACTACGACAATCTCCGGCTCGGACACAGTATCCAAGTAATTATAATCCTTATAGTTTTTCAAATATAACAACCAATTTAATATCTCCTTGTACACTAAATTTATAAAAAAAAAAAAATAATAAAAATAAATAAATCATTGCTACCCTCAACCGTTTTGAGCCTCTGATTAAGGACGACGAATCTATTATAAATATATTCAACGATTCCTATCCCATTATTATGGAAGATGAAATATTTAAACCACCTCCTCCTATTTTTATTAAAGATGTGGAAGAATTTTTTGCTCTGTCTTTAGTTTTAATTGAAAAAATGGTGTTGATAATTTCATGTGCAAGTCTGAAAATGTTCGATTAAATAAACTTAAACTTAATTGCATACTAATGAGTACTAGTATTTCCTATAAACTAAAAAATCTTAGTTCATTATCTATCCACTTACTTTAAGTTTGAATTTTCAATATAAGGCAAGTTATCAATGTTTTCTGTTAAGTTGACAAAAATCTACTACCACTTTTTTTTTGTAAAAAAATACATACCATGATCAAAATCAATTTTTTAACTGTTTATATTTTTATACATTAAAATCAAAATTGAAGAGCCAAAAAAAAAAAAAAAAAAAAAAAAATGCTTCAAATTTCAATAATATAGTTACGCCAAGTTACACCTATATTGTGGTCATCAGCCTAGATGCAAATGTTTCATATGTTTCGGTAATTATTTAGCCAACTACAAATTAGGCTGTTCAGTCTAGAAAGATCTTCCACGACAAAAAATATTCAACGAGTAGTTTTATCTATAATAACTTTAAATCTAAATTTTTCAATGTACAAGGTAACTCATAAAATAACAGTTTCTTTAAACCTCAATTAAAACACAAATTCACGTACACACCACACCCAACATATACATCCTTAATACTATATCTCCCGTCTCTGAAACTCACGTTCTTAATATAAATAAAATAATGTATTCTAGATAGCTTTCAATATCTTATAAATTCACTAATATCACTCCAAACTTAAGTGATGTTCACCTTATTAGATAAATAAAATGTTTAATAATTATAATTATAATAATTATGTCACAAAAAAATTGCTATTAATACGTAGTACAATTCAATGCTAAAAACTTAAAAAACCATGAAAATGAATTCAAAATAGTACTTTATAACAGATACATTGGCATAGTTTTTACTGAAATGAATTTCACCAAAAACTCAAATTTTTTTTATCGCTGATTAAAAACTTTTAAAACCTAACTATCCAAACAATATGGCCAACGGTGGTGTCACTATATATTGTAATTAAAACTTCAACATTTTTTTGAGCCCCTTTTAAACTACTGTCTACATTATTTACAATCCTATAATTTAATCGTAAAATTAAATAATATTTCTTTTACTAATGCGACTTTATACTCTTATACCAGACATAAAATCACAGTGAAACATTATTTTAATTCAATTAGCAACATTTAATTATTGGTAATAACTTCAATGCAAACCATTATTTCTAGAGCTGTCTTGCAAACAATTATGATCATGGTTTAGTTCTACATAGTTGTGAATCTCAAAAAAATCTTTGAGTTATTACTGTTCCTACGTACTATTCGACTTCAGGTTAAGTTTCCAAAAACAAAATTCCAGACGTTTTTGATATTTTTATTCTGAAAATCCTAAAAAATGTTCACCATGTTCACTCACATATTCTCTCATGTGAGAGATATTCTTTACTTAAATTCTAACCATTCATCTATAATTTTAAGTACCTACATCTTTTTTCCAATACGTCGTAAATTTTTGAAATCATTTAATTCTAGCACTAATTAACTGAAATCACATGACTTAGTTGATCAAAAATCCAATTAAAATCAAACGATGATCTACATTCAGCTTTAAAAGTTTCACGGGCATCGTTCAAACCTAAGCATTATTCATCTACAAATACATTTCATATTCCACTTTTTTATATATGAAATACATTTGCCTGTAATAATAGAAAATTTCTATGGTTTTAAAATTATTATTACTAGAATTGATTTATTGTATTATGGACGGATAAATATATTTAGAAAAGAAAATTACACAAAACAGATTTTAAACAGCTGATATGTTGATATAAATAAAATAACACTGAATGTAAAATGTGTTAACAGCAGAATTAAGCAGAACGCACAAAAAATCACTTTATTCCAGAATCCAAATAGAAATAGGATGCTAATATTGCGTAAAAACTACTGAAGTGAAAGTATTTTGAGAATTCGATTTAATTTACTAGAAATAATATGAAAGTGGAAATAAATGGAATTTACAAATAAGTTTTTTACTAACTTATTCTTAAAAATATACAGGGCTCAAAATTTAAGAAAAACACTTTAAAAAAATATTTGTACTGTTCATATTTTATTCTGTGAACCATTCGCACCCATCATTCACGTGTTTCAATACATGTCGTTAAAATATGTTTCTAGTTCTGTATTTTAAATATTATAATTTGTTTAGCTGAAAATGTATCTACAATTTACATCGATAATTTTTTAGGTATATCATTATTTATCACTGTAAAATTGTAAAATTTCTAACTTAAAATGGTTATTTTATTATTTCTCGATATTCAATACTCTTTAAATTATTTATAGCCAAAATAAAAATATCAATTTCATGATTAATATTTTAATTTATTAATGTTTTTTTTTTTTTTGTGCTTAAAAACAATTGAAAAACAAATATATTTGACAATTATTTTATTCGTTATATTTGTTTAGTTCTAATTTAGTCTTTCATCTGAACCGAGTTACCAGCTATTATTTTCACCCTCTTTATCTCTAAAATAAGTGAAGTAGTTTGTATTATGTTACACGGTTTCTCATTCATCAATAGTCGATGAGCTGCAACTTGATTCGTTGTTATATTATTATATTAATAAAGGTCTACTACTGTGCTTTTGGGTTTCCATTGATTTTTTCTAACAAGCTTTCGTGAGTTATGGCTTCAATGTCTCATATATAATCATTGTATCGACATTTTTCAATAAAATTATCTCATATTTTAATTATTCACATAATATTGATATTTTTGGTAAACAAGTTATGCAACTTAAAAACTTTTTTGAATTTTATAAAACTTTTAGATAAGAACAAGTTTTTATAGTTTTTTATTATAGAGTGATTATAAATCATTATTCATTACACATATATGAAAGCATTGTATAAAGTATAGATATTTGGTACTTAATTTTTTACTAGTTTTTTATTCTTAGTGTTATAAAATTGATTACATCACAATTTAATTTTTATCATATTTTTTCAAGTTTTACTTATTTCAGAATATAGTAAAGACTTATAATATTATTTCAGTGAAAATGTTGGGCTAAAATTAATTTTTTTAACTTTTAAAACCATTAGTTACGTAAATTACACTAATTTTTCGTTTTCGTTAAAAAAAAATTGTAGATTTAAAAAATATTTATTTTATTAGGTATAACTTTTTATATCTAGTTATGTACAAATAGTAATGATTTTAATTTATAGATATAAGTATTTGAATCAATCATAAAACTAATATTTATAAAAATATTTTTAATGTAATTGTTTATTGTCACTGACCTTAATATTTTGATGAAAAAATGCTATTAATTTTATTAGGAATATTAAATTTTTTACAAGAAAAATATTATATTTAATTTATTTAGTTTTTTATTGGATTCTAAGTTAAAACTCATTAAAATTTTCTGAATTTAGCTTTTGAAACAAATGTATTGTCATTTTATATAATTATAGAAGGATGTTAAAATATCCTGAGAAATATTCAGGTGAAATAAATAAATAAGTATATTAAAAAAAAAAATAATTATTAGTTAAAATATTATTTAGTATACATTACTATAATACAGCAGCTACATTTTGAAATATTTTAAATAGATACTGTATCATCGATTAATTATAAAATGTAATACGACTATTCACAGAATTTAGGCTTTACAGTAAAGTTATTTTTATAGGTTAAAACTATATTTATTTATGTATTATAGTTACTTAATACGTATTCAACTAACAACTAAAATGATAACTAATAACTAAACAAACAATTTCGATAAACTGCTAATTGGATACATTTTAATTGGATAATATTATTTAAATCGAATAGCTCTTTATTAGCTTAAATTTCTTAAAACTTACTATTAATAAATTTAAACTATTGATTTACGATAATATCTGACATTTTTTCATAGGTTTTCCTTATAAAATGTTTAATTAATTTACAAAGTTATATAAATAACGACATTTGAATAGAAGTCAAAGAATAATAGTTTTACTTACTACTTACTAATATAAGTACTATACCGTTGATTATAAATTAATATTCCATTAAATAAATATAATAAAAATTGCAGCTCAAATAAAATTGTATTTTTAATTAGACAACATTGTTCGTGTATATTTTATTAATTGGAAGATTTTGACATTACTATATATTTTTATTTACAATATTATTTATGTTGCATTCAATATTAATATTTGTATAAATATCCAAAATAACCTGGAAAAGGTAGTTATTATCGTCAAGAAAATCATAATCAAAAACTTCATTTGGATTTTTATGTATTTCAAGAAAATCATAATCAATATTTTATAATTTGTTCGTCAAAATAAACTACTTTATAATCTTAAGCTGTGGGAATATTATTTATTGTTAATGGACGCGTACCGATCATATAAAAAAATAGTATACTATAGACTTACTTTCGAGTACACTCCTGCACTGGCTAACTCATTCTCGATGACCATGATTATAATTCCAAACATTCCCATCACTAAAGCGTAATCACTAATTCTTTTTCGTTTTTCGAAAAGTGCTTTACGCCTACCCAGTCTGTATCCGACGTTTGGCTTGTGTTTACTGCCGGTTATATTACCACTGGAACCTACTAAGCTGGTACCCTGTAAAACAAAAACCATAATCACAAAATTGAATAAATATATTTTTGTGAATAAATTTGTGTACTTAAAAATTTATCATAATTTATTGTAATTATTGTAAACTTTAGTACTTAATGTAAAAACTTATAGATGTTTATATTGAGACGTTTTATAAATGGTGTGACAATAAATATATTTTTATTTTTTCTAATACGCATAATTAAATTATAATATACTTTATGAAATAAGGTTAATTTTTGATTTTAATTCCTTTATCTCAAAAATGTTTACATATTATATATATGTACCTACAAATATTATATACTTAATAAATTGTAATTAATACAATAATTAATCGTACGAGTAGGTATGATATTATGTTAATTAATGATTTTCCGATTGTATGGATATTTGTCCTATTTACCTATTTACCTTAAAAAGATATTATTTGCATTAAAATGGTTCATCTATTCTAAAAATTGCTGAAGCTTTTTTGTCGATTCTACTAAAGGTTTCACTAGGTGTTCCAAACGATTTGTTGGAGCTTTAGCAAAGCGTCTATAAATAGGATAAGAGTTCAGCTATATGTGCGCGTATTTGTATGTACGGGTGGAAGAGTAAAGCAGATTTTTCGACCTTAATCCAGTATACACACGCATGATCTTAAGTAAATTGTGAGGAAATCGAGACGCAAAACGAAAATCCCCAATATTCTAGCAGTGATTACCTACGAAGGGGTGGAAAAAAATTGAATCAGTTTAAAAAAGAATAAGTAAAGATTTTTTCTGTTCTTTTATAAAAGATACATTTTGCATAAATCCATTTTTTTTTTTTTTTTACTGAACTTTAATGAAGTATTTAATATAGTGCATATATTATATGATGTTATATTGTACTCCACGCTTTATATTTCAATTTAAGGACGAAATTATAAATTATAAACACACGGAATGCGAATATTAATAATATGCATAATATTAAATTGGTTATTTGAATATACGGCGTGACGCATGCATGTATAAAACAAAATTAACGAGTATTTCAAACGATTACCTTATAGTTAATTTTGGATTTGCTTGTACAGAATAAAATATATTTATTTTGAAATTAATTTTTGTTACATGTAAAATAGTAAATATTTTAAAATAAAAGGGAGAAATAAAACAGATACCTAAAAAATGGTTAAATTTAGGTATGATATTGATAAAAATCTTTATATTCTTATAGAAAACTATATGATGATGATAAATACCAACAATATAGATCAACATAATAATGTAATGTATTTAAATATAAATATTTGAAGTAAATTGAAGATAAAACTTATTAGAACTTATTATCATTCAACCATTCAATGATTTAAAAATATCAGAAATAAATTATTGGTTTTATTTTTGAAATTATATACCATATTCTAACGTTGAGAATAATATTTGTTTAAGTTTAAAACGAAATACTAATTTTAGTATACCGAAAATAACAAATATATTATGCGTAGTTTTTTATATTATAAGTAATTAGTTATAAATTATTTATAAACCAAACAAATATTGTAAAATCAAAAATATTTAAATATAATTTGAATAATAATAAAAAAAAAAAATCATAACAATATATTATATTCATTTTAATGCAATATAAATCGGTACTGTGTTTATAGACTTATATAAAAATAGAAGATAAAAAAGTGTAGACATGCACTTTACATTTTGAAATAGTCGTAACAAAATGTACTAGAAATTGACAGTCAATTTGTACGATAAAATTGATTGTGATATGGATAACTTAAATAGTCAATTTCGAATAAAGGATATCAATAGCAATACTGTAAATCATTGTAATAGCATTAATATTTATGTACACGGTGTATTGGTGTGGGTTATCGTATGACATGCAGTATAATCGATTGCTTAATGTTCACATATAAGTAGTGACTCCGGATGTATTTCAAAACTTAATATTATATACATACTGTATGCGTTGTTGTCATTTGGTAAGCGACGAGGGGATATTATAGGGAAACCGATAAATATTAAACTTTTATTCGGATTACATGACATCGAATGATAATACTATAATGCTTTAACCGAATGTATAAACAACATATTATTTCATACCGTGCACTGAATGCGTGGTTTCGTCTATGTTTCAATAATTATTTAAGACTTAAACCGATATTGTGGGTGTTTTGGTTCGAATCCGAATCTGAAAACTATCATACTGTAGTATTTCCCAAGTCGCCTTTCTCACATCCCACGCCGTACGGCCGTCGGAGACGGAGCCAGAAAGAATATAAAACCTTACACAACACAGATGATGATTATTTGCGGTTTAATGATAGAATGTTGTCGGAATAATGTTTTCAGAACGGCCGAACGGACTACATTTGTCTTGCATTGTTTTCTTTTTCTTTTTTTCTTCTTTTTTTTTTTTTTATACTCCCACAAAGAACATTTATCATTTTTATGGTCAGATATTTTCAAGTCCATTAATATCGTGCTTGTGTGGTGGAAGAAAATTAGGTTTTTAAATGTGTTAAAGGAAATAATAAAAAGAGGGCCTCGCAGAGTTTGGGTTATTTTATGTGATACTCGCTGGCAGTTGTACGTATCAAACGTGCTGTCTTGTAATACATTCCCCGCACTGTAAATACGAAGATATTTATTATCGTACATTTGTACGATAATATTATCTGTAGGACTACTGAGATGTGGAAAATATTATGTAGTCAAATCTCGCGCGTTGTTCTATAGTATATCTATAAGTACCTACTAACCGGAGGGGGCAATTGTCTGCAACGTATTATAATATATACACTAATATAATTAGAAGGTTACAAGTACAACATAGGTAGTTACCTTGCACACCAACCCGGTACGTTCTTCGGTGTAGCGGGGATAGTCGGAATGTATGCTAACCAATGCTATGCCGGCTTCCTCGCCCACTACGCCGCTATCGCCTCGGCCACCAGAACCGCTAACCTTCATCCCACTAGTGATCGACAATGTCGATGACGTGTGCTTTCGCAGCTGTAACAGACAATAAAATAAATATAAAAAATAGGATAATAATAATTATTTTATGAGTAAAAATTAAAATAGTGTGGTAGTCAATCTATACACCTTCTAATAAAAAAAAAATTTTAAATTATTATGTCGACATTTTTCAATCAAAATTACTAAGTACTCGATCATGAAAACAAGTAATGAAAAATTGTATATTTTGTAAATTTGTGTGGCTTAATTATAGTATCTTATGAAAACATTTGTATACATATAACACATATATTTTGAAACTAAGTAGTAATGTTATCAGTTTCTGGAGGAAGAAGACTGAGGCCCTAGGTTTTTAAAATTTCAGGAAAATGCTCTCGGCGTTTTATGATCATTACACAAGCTATGTGAAATTGTGAAAATATGGTTATTTGTAAGAAGATTGCTATAAAAGTCTAAAATGTTAGTTTTATAGGTGTAAACCTATGGCATCAGTATCATATCAAACTTATATGGGATTTCAATTTAAGCCTCGCATAAAACAAATGATCATCCCTAAAAACAAAATTCTGGCTCCAATACTTAGTGCACGCATTTAAAACTTATATAAATGCAGTACATATATCTAATTTCGATTATATTTTAAGTTATTTTCTCATATAATGTTCGACAAAAATTTAGAAAAAAATAATATGTTTTCTAAATTGACGTTTGAAACGTAAGTGGTGTCGCGATTTTTTAAATCAAATAAAATATCAAGCTAATAGAAAGTGTCATCAATGGGTGACTTCTTTCTTCAAAAAATTATGACCTGTTAACTCTTAACACATATTCTTATCGTTGTAAATATAATTTGATACAGATTGTTTATTACATGTAAAAAAAAAAAAGTGTTTATTAAGCTGGTCAACCAAAGTTCAAAAATACCTACATTAGAATATTGTTTTATCGATTAAGTACATAATATATTAGTCGAACAATCAGTTTGTTGTCGAAATTATTATTTGATAGGTTATTTATATTATTTAGCATGGAATAGACGGAAATCAATATGGTATGCATGATACTAGAAAAGTGTATATTATTATTTTTAACGACACGCGACCGAGCTATAAAGATTTTTTTCAACAATTTTTAAGCATATATAATATATATAAATATAAAATAACTTAAATAAAAAAATAAATACAACAAGCATACTGTTATAATATGTGCAGATAAAGCATTATAATAAAAAAGAAAATTAAATATGCGAATTGTTGACAATAAAAAATTGCCATGCTTTTTTGCCAATACATAATTTTTAGTGTATTAATTACATGTATAGTATTGTTAGTGTAGCATTAAAAAAAAAAAAAAAAAAATTAAATGCCTTTATAGAGTATACGCATAAATACGAATGCTTGTATACTGCTAACATATATTATATACACTATGATTCTTCGTCAATGTATCATACTTACACGTTTAGGTTTTAAAAAAAGCTCTAACGCATCGGGTTTTAAATGCATTAAAATAAAAATAATTTTATTTATAGGAAAATGTTGATTAACAAATGCAATCATAATAATTATCATAATTTTCAAAACGTAAAAAAATATAGTTTTGGTATTGTTTAATGGAAAGACCATCAAGTATATTATATACATTAAACCATGATTTATTCTAGGGCGTTAAGTGTTGGGCGTTACTCTAGAGTCCATCTTGTCAGTTAAATCATTAGTTTTTAAGAGGTCACTCCATAAGAAAAATTTGAGATTTAGGCGTGTGCATTGAACAGCTATATGACAAATGTATCATCGATTATAAATGTAGTGGAATTAGGTGATTTTCATTAATAATAGCAACAAAATCATTATAGAAACTTAATTCTACTCAGTATCAGACTGTACGTATATTTATTTACAAACTAAATTTTTGCTAACAGAAAACTCCATTAGTTTTATTATCATCCACAAAGAAATAATTTTTCTCAAATTGGTGAATTAGTAAATTAAAAAAATATATATTTATATTATATGTCTTTAAAGTTAAATAATTTTTAATTTAATCATTTTTCCATCGTCATACGATTACATTAAAGTCAACAAAATGTGTATTATTATATTGAAATAAAACTCACGAGTGGAAAAGAAAAATCAATAGAATCATACTAAATTTGAAACTTGGGCAAAATATCGGAGCAATTATGGTATCTGGAGAACGTAATCTGAATATTGAAAATTTGAAATATATTTCTCAATGGCATCATCAAGAAAGGATCTTTTGATAAGACATTTTAATTTATAAATAAATTATTTCTAAAGAACACTTATTAATTTTATTTTTTTTATTTTGGACACTGTTAAAATGCTCATTATAAAAATTAAGATTAATACAATTTTCATTTTGATGAGAATAATAATACGAGTATGATTATGCACTATTTATACATCACATAATTTTAATAATACATGTGTTATGTAATAGATACTCGGTTAGTCTGTTTTGAATAAAAAAATAAATGGTATATACATAATTTTTATTATATAATTATGTAAAAATCTAAATATTAATATAATTTTTCCAATAACTAATAATGCATTGTAAGCAGCAGTAAGTATATTATAAGATTTATAAGGCGAAAATGTGTTAAACAAAATGTGAATTAATTAAAGTATTAAACTTGAGTACAATTGTGAACTTAAAATTCTGGTAAGTTTGATAAGTACTAACATTTTTGAGAAGTTTCCACCTTAAACGTGTTCATAAAATACAGCGGGCATTAAAATAAATGACAAGTAAAAGAATAGAAATCCAAACTTTTCAGGCTCTTTAATCTTCTATTTATAAATTATCTACCTTATTACGTTTCAATTAACACAATGATGAATAGTATAATTATGCAAAATCGTATTAAAATTTTTTCAAAGAAATGTTTTTTTTTTGAGAGAGTCAGACAGATTATTTATTAAGTTATAATATGTAACCGTATCAATAGGTTATGGATTTAACATATGGTACTTACAGTAGGTACTTAAAAATGATAATTTTCTAGAATTTACTGAAGTTATTGAGAAACCAGTGGAAATATAGAATAAAAGTTTTAAAGAAATGTTTTTAATAATATCCCGGAAAACAGAATTTGGTTAGAAATTATAGTTTTTACATCACGATCAATTGACATTGATTTTAGCTTTAAAATATTAATAAATTTATTAGCGATTTATACTTATATCTAACTTTAATTGTATCTCTTATTTTTGGTATCAATACTGATATTATAAAATTCAAGTATATTCAGTCATGTATTTTTAAATTGCATAAAATAAACACAATTGGTTTTGTGGAATTTAGTTAAGTGTAAAATGTTTTGTTTTCCAAAAACTTTTTTTTTTTTAACCTCCAATTACTATTTTGAAAATAATTGTGAATCTTTACATTTAAAATCTCAAATCATCAACTAAATTCAATTTTAAAAATAAAAAAATGAAGTATTTTAACTACTTTAAAATGATACGCGAAAAAACCTACATCACTGTAAGACCAATTATTTTAGAACCTAAAACAATGAACATGTAGCTATAATGAAATGATAAGAATATTATTTAAATTAAAATTGTATGTTAAATTTATAGCACCTACTGGTTAACTATAATAATATATTAGTAATGAATACTAATGATTTTAAAACATAAGCTAATTGCTTATTTTAATTTATTATCGGGGCTATTCGATTTTAACGGATATTTCAATTCTTTTCAGACAATGCAAAAACCTATCTGGATGCAAGACAGTAGCGAAATGTGGAGGTGGACCAAATAACCATACTCGCGGCATCCAGAGCGCCAGTATGATTTATGGTCGGTTTTATGTAAATTTCTTGATTCCTTGTATTTTTCCACTAGTTTTGCTTTATTGAATAATATTTGGCCTTTGTTTCTTTCTTTTGGATAATCGAATAACGATGGTAAAAAATTCAAACCTCTGATTATAATACATAATATACTATAGGTACTTGTAAACATTTTAAAATTAAAATATTAACGTACAAATAAATTTTAACTATTAAGCTTGACATATTTTTGTATAGGTTTTTAATTCATAATATTATTCAAGCACGATATTTGATTTATCGCTAAGAAATTACATAATTACATATTTTTTTTTTTTTTTTTTTTTAATGCAGTTTATGTATATTAATAGTTATAATTCATTGCAAAATTATACAAAATGTTATATCAGTTTGTACATAATATTTTAATATTACTTAGCATCCAATCTAATGTAACTCTAAAATGATTATACTAAATACATGAAATTTGTGGTAAAACGGTCGTGGCGTAGAAGCAGTTTAACAACTTAACTGTGTACGTCTGGATTTATTAACTACTCCGCCCCTCGATTACACGAGCTTGGTTTCATTGTTATCATTTTATATCACAAAATATAATATAATTATAATAATAATAATGTAAACATTTTTATTATAATTGAAATTAAATTAAATGATAACATGTATTTGGTTCTCGTCGTTAATTCGTTTATCATTGTCAAATCATTATTGCCGTCGTGTCCATAATATTACTATAATACGACACCGTTTTTTTGATATATTATTATAATATGTTAGTATAGTGTATAAATATGATTTAAAACTGAAACATATATTACACAGTATATTAAACTATGTTTTTATACCAGAGATGAGAAAGTGACTCAATTAGTTGTAACTGGTTATATAAGTTACACTAAAATTGTGTATCTTATTACAAGATACTTTGGACATTTATAACTGGTTATAAGCCGCTTGTTAATTATTTAAATTTCTTTTATTCGAAAAAATAACGTTACTGTTTATATTTATTTGTGTAGTTATTACTTTATTTTGCTTTTAAATTTATTTGAAGAGTTTGCGACAAAAAAATGTATTATTTATTACGTTTTAACTGTTCCAACTCTTATAGTTTAAAAATATAATCTATTAATACCCAATTAAAATGAGAAAATGTGGTAAATAATTTTTATCTGTGTTGCTTAATAAATATACATAAATT